ACTCAATTTCATATTTATTTTCACATTTTCACTTCGCGATCCTTCTCTGTTCTTTTTCCGTTATTTACACGTGTAGGTCATTTCATTGTTATTCACATTTGATATCATTTATCACATACTTCCATGACACTCTTGCCTGTCCGCTACAACTGCCAAGAATTAACGCAATTGGCGAAGCGTAGTGATAGCGGGCCAATAGAGAGCAGGATCCTTGCCATAATGCGGTTTGCGCGCCAATTTTCGTACGTGCGTTAATCAAGCCGAATAGTTTGGCCGAATATTCGGCTGTTCGGCCACGCTCTTGGCCGAATATTCGGTATTCGGCTTGAGGCCGAATATACTATTCGTTACAACACTAGTTATGAACGCTGGTAGTTCATTATACACAGACATACGTTGCACTGTTACACTCTAGTTGGGTTGTCACTCTAAGTATTTTATATCTAAATGTAGAGTATTTTGTCCTTTACAGAAAAAATATCGTAATATATCGAAAATCATTAATATAGTACAGAAGCGTTTGCAAGAAAAAATGGCCTTTCAAGTATAAATGGAGCTATTTAAATGTTCACTGGCACGATCCAATTTTAAATATTTTTCAAACTTGCGAGTACTAAAAGAAAATGAAAAGGTTTCTGACCGTGATTTAGAGACATATATTAAACATCTTGATAAATTAAGAGAAGACTTTAAAGCACGTTTCGAAGAATTGGAGAATATGCATGTTTCCGAATGGTTTGCTAATCCATTTGATGTAAAAATAGATAATGAAGGTAGTGAACTTGGCTTAGAAAATGAATTGAGTGAAATATGTGTAGATCTCGAAGCTAAAGCGTTGTTTAAAAATAAAAATCTCAGTGAATTTTGGAGCAATAACAATATTGCCACTAAATATCCCAAGCTCAGAGCAGAAGCCGAACCTTTCTTACTCGCAATCCCAACTTCATACGTGGTTGAAGCTGGTTTTAGCCACGCGAACGCAATTTTGACAAAACAGAAGAACAGATTGAAATTGGAAAACCGTGGTGATTTGCGACTAAAACTTACTAATTTTCAACCGAATATCAATAATCTTGCTGCTTCTCTTCAGAGACATCCATCCCACTAATATCTACTATTTTAATAAAAAGGTATGTCTACATATTTTTAAGGCATTCAGTAGTAGTCGCAAAATGACAGTAAGAGGTTTTTTCATCCAATATAACTAATGTTATGTTTTCAAAGATAAGTGTGTATTTTACGTATTAATACATGTATGGTTTAAGAACTATAGGCAAATTTCTATCTACCCATAATTTTGCTATTATTTTTTAAGATTATAAATCAGTGGAAAATATCTCCTTTTTCTGTTAATGTTATTGGGTGGATTTTATAAAATATGGGAACTATAAATTCTTTTGTTGGGTTGTTATGCAGGTCTCCTTATCGCTTAACATTAGAAATGCAAAAATGATTTAATGTTTTTGTTAAATGCTTAATCTGGGGTCGATGAGAAGGCAAATATCTTATAAAGGGGTCGACGGAATAAAAAGTTTGGGGACCCCTATTCTAAAGTAATGTCATCTATATTTTGGATAGTCCAATTAGGAATTTGTAGCATATGTGGACCTTTGCACGCCAGGTAATGCTACGAGAATGTCATAAAATCGCTACTCCGATTCTATAAAAAGGCTCTCGGTGGCTTAAAATTTACAGTGTACTGTATTACGACAGAGCCATAATCACAGATAAAACAATTTACCACCTGTCCTTCTCTCTTCTACAAGTGTCATAGCATACACACTATACAAAAGCCTGGGATCATTACAGCTGAATAGAAACACATACATCACATTACAGAAGACCACTATATTGAATACATGTCATACTGTTAGAAAATTCCTGAATATAGACACACACACTTACACACTTATTTAATTTTGGTTATATTTATCAGGTTTGGGAACGGAAAAAATGGTGGGATGGGCAACTTCCCTAAAACATCGTTAATTTAAATGCATTCTTATTAAGACAATACCTAAGTTTTAAAAGTATGAAATTTGAGTTCCAAGATTTTGAGGACATGACACAAATCACGATATATAAAAACGTTTAAAAAATAATTTCGTTTCAAATAAGTTCTTTAAGAAACTTTATTAATTAAAAGCTTTCATTAATTAATTTTTAATTATAAATTAAGGATGTGCAAGCCTTAGATAATGTATATGAAACAGTAAAATGCAAAAAAAAGTAATTAAATATTTNCATTTTTTTTTTTTAAAGTTGAATAAATTACATGTATTGTAGCTTTTATAATCAGGATATTTTGAATATTACGATCAGAAAATGACCTCCCTCTAACACTATTTTGTTACTTATAATAATTAAAATTTGATTACCAAGTAACTTTTCTTCCTACGAAGAATGCCAAATGAGAAACCGGCAAAGTATGAAATACATCTTCGTTTCGTTTCGAATATCACGTGGCAAGGTACTGTACGTGACTTTTAACACTTTGCGGTTAGTTCGGGAGTGTCAAAATATGCAATTTTACTTAAATTTGTTCAACAAAAAGTTCGTTTTTTACTGCGCTCCATGAAAATGGAGGAGCAAGCTGTAGTGTTGGAGAAGGTGTCATGGTCTATAGACATGAAACAACGATTTGACAATGAACTGTCCAAAATTCGAGTTAATATTGTAAAAAACAGTATTTTCTTAACCGAAACTACTTACCAGAATTTAATAAATGATGTGCAAAAAGCCAAAATGACTACTAAGAAGGAACCCAGGGACTATTGGTTGCTGAATCGCTATGATGTGCTGATTATAGAAAACAAAAGTAAATTCATTTATCCTGTTAAAGAAGGCATCAGTAATATACAGTATTACGTTACGGTGTTATTTCACTCAGAGTTATTTCACGTACTTCATAAAGCTCATTTGGCTATTGGACACGGAGGACGTGATAGAATATTGAAAGAACTTTCAACCAAATACAAAAACGTTACACGTCATGATATTGAACTGTACATCCACCTTTGTGAACCTTGCCAGAAAAAACAGAAAGGTATTAAAAAGGGCATTGTTGTTAAACCTATGATTTTTTTAGAATTTAATTCCCGTTGTCAGGTAGATCTGATTGACTTTCAGTCTCAGCCAGATAGAGAATACAAATTTATTATGATGTACCAAGAGCATCTCACAAAATTTGTGATTCTTAAGTCTCTGACGTCAAAAAGAGCTGAAGAAGTAGCCTATAACCTAGAGGACATATTCTCGTTGCTTGGAGCACCATCTTTATTACAGAGTGACAATGGTAGGGAATTTGCAAATAATGTGGTGACCAGCTTGAAGAAGTTTTGGCCAGCACTAAAGATCGTCCATGGGAAGCCTCGCCATTCACAAAGCCAGGGTAGTGTCGAAAGAGCTAATCAAGATATCGAAAATATTCTCTTACTTGGATGCAGGACAACAAATCTGACCGCTGGAGTGAAGGACTACGTTTTGTTCAATTTATGAAAAATAGAGCTTATCATTCTGGGATCAAAAGAACACCATACGACGCTCTTTTTGGCTGCAAACCTAAAGTAGGGCTTACATCGTCTTTTCTACCAGAAGACGTTTTAAAAGACATAAATACAGAGGAGCAGCTAGAAAAAGTAATAGAAAGCGTCAAAACAATGGTAAAAGATTAAACTAATCAGATTATGCAAGAAAAAGAGCCTGTTTTGAAAAACATGAATGAGATTATAGTCGTTAGTGGATTAAACCAACATGATGAAAACATGTTTACCGAAGAGATTTCCGTTTCTGATACCTGTTGTGTGTTTAAAGGAAACGAGTGATGCACTCGCATGCAAAAAAATGTCGTCAAAAAATTCATACCTTCTGTGGCCATGCTAGTAAAGATGATGAAATGGATATTTTGTGCACCCTTTGTTTCAAAACTGAAAATGCTATTGAAGGTAAAATAAATTCTAAAATCAATCTGAAAATACAAGCCAAAAAAAAATGAAAATGAATTCGGAAAAAAAAATTCCCACTGCTTCTTTGGGAACTACTGTGCGAGTTCCTATTCCTGACGTCGACAAGGGGCGAGGTGATTCGCGCAATGTATTGGCAGTTATAATGAGTGTGACAGAGGATGGTTTCTACCGACTTAAAACTTCTGAAGGAATTTTAAAACAAGTATATGCGAGATCACAATTCACTTCATGCCCTAAGAACTTGCTTAGAATTGAAGATATTCCTCTCAGGTCAGTCGCAATTGCTCAGTCCAGTGGAAGCGGCCAAGGATTCGTCAAATGTATGCGTAAAACAAAGTGCCAAAATATGAAATGTCTTTGCGTGAAAAATGTAATGAAATGTAATTCAAAATGTCTTTCAAGCCTACCACGTTGCAACAAAGAGGCTAATTTTAATTTCTTATTTTTTTATATGAAAATTTTGTTTCCCTTAATACGAAAGGCATAAATTTTGTTTTGGACAACTTTCATTTTTCTTTACGTATTTTGAATACATTTTTTTTAATGGCACTCTCATTATTTTTTCAGAATAACATTTGTATTTTTGAGGAATGTACTTCATTTATATAATAGCCTTATCAGGACCTTTTTTCATACTTTGCCTAAATAGCATTTATCATTCTATAGAATGCCTAGGTATCATATACAATGCCTAGGGAAAGTAGGGAAAGCTTTATAGGCTATATAGAAAACAAAAATTTGAAGTAAATCAATTATAATTAAATAACATTTTTAGCATATTTATTTACATTTTTTTTTTTTTAAAGTTGAATAAATTACATGTATTGTAGCTTTTATAATCAGGATATTTTGAATATTACGATCAGAAAATGACCTCCCTCTAACACTATTTTGTTACTTATAATAATTAAAATTTGATTACCAAGTAACTTTTCTTCCTACACATAATTATCTTCGTGCCATATTGATTTTTAAGAGTTTTTGTTCGAAAACTGAATGTTTCTAACAGAGTAAAAATTTAAATAAAAATTCTTTTTATATTTTTCTTGATTAAAAATAACGTTTTAATCTGATAATTATCTTACTCGTGGGTGTAATTAATTCCCATCTTAAGTTCTAGTTAATGGCACTAACTTGACAATTTTAAAGAACAGTGCTATATAAAAAAGTAATAATAATAATAATAATAATAAAACTTCCAAATTAAGAATAATTGCCTATCTTATAACGCATTGTTTTTCTTCTATATACGTAATATATAGTATAATTGAAAATGTAACCCTATATTAATTCGTTAGTTTGCAGTAAGACGTCAATTGAAGAGTTTAAATATACTCAACGAACATCGTTAAACATTATTGGATACCGAAAATCCAATAATTCGAAAATAAATTAACGTTTTATCACAATTTTATGATCAATTTTCTGTTACTGATAGTTGCTGAATATCTTTATCTACATCAGATTCCTTGTATATTTTAACGTGACATTTCAGTAACACAGCATAACCGAAAATTTATTATTATACTTAGTCTATTAGCTTATAGTAAGACGTCAAACGGAGATTAAATATATGTGAGTAAATATAACATTAAACATTATTAGATGTGGAAAATGTAATAATATTAAACCCTGAATAAAATAAGATTTTTAATTACTAAGAAACTATATAAAATATTAATAAAAATCCATACAAATCTATCTTAAATGATGACTTAATATTTGAATATAAGAAGCCAAAATCATGCATATTATAACAAAAAAAAAAAAAAAAGTTTTAAATCTAATTTGCTTTAATGATGCACTTGTAAGGTCGTATTAGAAGCTTGTTATTTCGTCTTTCTATATTTTACCAGTGCATTATTTAAATATGGATTGTGCAAATTTTATGAAGTGGTTTTTCATTATAGTTATGGGTACCCTTTACGCTATTTGGGCCATGCAATTTCTCAGTAGAGATTTTTATGAAAGATACAAGATATTTTTCTAATTACTTGTGAGTCATCATTATACTTCGATATTTACTCTACATGGAGATTTTGCAAGTATTAACATTAATTATTATTATTATCTTTATTATCGTATATACTGTATTCTTTTTTGAATTATTTAATTATTATTTCTATCAACCTATGAGAAGTGGAATTTTAAAAGAAAATCATATTAATAAAAAGATTTAAATTAGAATTTTAAATTAAAAAATATCACGTGAGAATATTTTTATATCAGACGGCGTCTAGCATTGAACTTTGATACAAAAATGTGATTATATAAACGATATGACATTTATCTTTAAAACTTTGGCTTATCAGCAATCCCTAAAGTATTCAATAGTGCAACTGAAACTATAAAATGGATCTACGTTCGTATCTTCTAAAAGAGGTAAAACCTTTATTACATTCGAATATATATATATATATTTTTTTTATTATTATTATTATTTGTAGATAAAATCTTTATCATTTCTAACTACTTCGTACTCTTGTTGTTCTTTTTTTTAGAATCTAGTATGGCTTGTAGCATTCAGAAATCCCAAGGAAACATGGCAAACTCACTGGTCTTATCTTGTAATAGAAATTTTATTTTATATCAGCGGTTTTCTAACTTTAAAACACGGTAATTCTTTAAAAAACATACGATTCAGATTAACTTTGATAAAGTGTTATTTTAAGTTATTTAATATTTTATAGCTTTCAAAAGAGGAGGAAAAAATTCTTATCTATGGATAGCCGCTCTGTTACATGGTATTGTAGTAGAAAGTCTTTCATATTTTCTAACTGATATTGATAATTTTTGGCACGCACAATCTTCGATAATGTTTTTAGGTTATCGATTACCTCTTTATATGATCCTATATTGTAAGTATTTACATTCGAAATTTATACAAATTAACTAATTGATAATAAGATAATTTTTTTTATTTACAGATCCAACATTTATTTACACAGCTTATGTAGCTGTCAATAGGTTAAAATTACCTTATTGGGCAGAACCTTTTGCACTTGGCTTGCTCGTTCTCATATTAGACGTTCCATTTGAGATATTAGGAGTTAAATGTTTATGGTGGACTTGGCACGATACAGATCCAAATATTTATGATAGACATTACTGGGTGCCATGGACTAATTATTACTTTCAAGCATCGTTTGTTTCTAGTTTTAGCTTAGTTTTCCGATTTACTAGATATTTAATCAGCGAAAATGAAAAACATCGAATAATCAGGTATTATATTTTAATAGCCTTATCAGGACCTTTTTTCATACTTTGCCTANAATTCTATTAATCTACTATAAATTTATATACAGAATTAGTAATCTTGGAGATATTTCAATTCAAAATTAATTCATTTTAAATTAAAGCTTCAAAGAAACCAATTTAAAATTAGATTAGATATTGTAATTAACGCAATTTACTACGAAATTATGCAATGTTTTAGTCAAAGTTAAATATAGGCTTAGAGATAGCTCAAAAGTCAGTTAACCGTTTATAATAATAATAAAAATTTATAAGAAACAGTAATAAATGCAATTACTGTACTTGAAAATAAATTAATTTACTCAAAATATAATACTTAATGGTTGCTACCAAAGTTTAAAATATATATTAATTTTTTTCCTTTATTTAAGTATAATACAAGATAATAAAGCACTAAAGATTTACAGTTGGTAATTTCCATACTACAATGTCACAAAATAAACATATCGATACTCACAAAGTGGAATATTGTTATTGGCAAGCGAAAAGTAACAGTAGTACTTTGGCTCCTCACCTTCATACTGTCCCAAGCCTGGTGTCTTAAAATTGCTTCTTTCCTCTTTTTCCAGAAGGCTCTCTAACAAATGCGAGTTTCAGTTTAGTTTTGATACCTACCACGGTCCATCCCTCCAAAATCACAATCCTATCTATCTTCTCAAGGTGGCCTTGATATTTCTTCGCTCGCAACCTTGTTCTAGCTTCTTGCTTTTCTATAACTTTGTCATCTTCTGCCATCTTTCCTCACCGTTATTTTTTTCTTGTGAGCCAGAAAAAACTCTAGATTTTCTTTGATTTTGATCGTATATAGCACTTTTGCCTGTGTAATATCAAAAAATTCATTGAGGCCGTTGCTGAAAGCAGTTTCTTTTTCAGTTTTCTTCTTCTTCTTCTGGTTATTGCCGTTTTTCTTCAGCTGCATGGAAAATTTCTTCAAGAATTGCAATTACGTATTTCCGAAAACGAGTAAGATCAGTGCTTTATTCCAAAACCTAATGACGGTACCAGCAGCCAAAGTTGGACTATCTGGAATAGTTTTCTTTTCAGTGTGATGCAAATGAAATACTAAGCCGATTAGCCAAACATTCTTCGTTTTACAGTACCAGGCCTAACAGTAACCATGCATTCTTTAATTGCATTGAACTCACTGCTCCAAATGGCCTGAAATTATAATCTAGGTCTCATGTTGTTCCATAAGGCTGTAAAAAGTTGTTCTACAATCTTTTGGACTATTTTGCAATGTTCCAAAAAGTTGTTGAATATTTTGGAAACTTCTAGATTGTTCCAGAAAACCCGATATAAACTAGTACATGAGGTTGCAACATTATGTTTGATGCAGTGCATTAAAAAGTGAATGTTTAACTCAGGGCTATCCATAAATGACGTCCACACTGGAAGGGAGGGAGGGAGTTACGAGTCGAAAAAGAGAGAGAGAAGGGGTTGAGCATTAGTAGACGTCCGTTTAATTTATTAAATTTTATATAGTTTATGCATTTTATTATATTTATTTTAAAAATTCTTGTATGTTACGTTTTTATTTACTGTATCTATCATTCATAAAGTGATAAAGGTTTTAAGAGGGTGAAGTTTTGTTGGACGTCCGAAGAGGGGTGGGGTTACGGAAACTTGGACAAATGGAACATGAGGGGGAGGAGGAGTTTTTTAAGAAAATTTCAAGAAAAATGCGGACGTAATTTATGGACAGCCGCTTATTATAGATAAATGGTACAAAACTTGGTATTTTTTAAACTTATTCTCTCGGTGCCTTTTGCATTCCCTACAAGACATATCCGGTTGTAAAAATGTGGAGCCAGTTTCCCGCTTGTACTGTGGTTGGCAGGGTCAAAGCTCTCTGTTCTTCCTGTTCCTATATCTATGTATATACAGTATTATTCCCATGTGAACAGAAATTTCTCTCTCTAGAGTGTTTTTAAATATACATTTTTTATTAGCGAGAATTTTAATTTTATAATAGTTTAAAATATTAAAACAATATTATTTTCATGTTAAGAAGTTTGTGTTAATTAAATGGCATTTATTTAATTGATTAATTATTTTTAAAAAGAAAGTTACATAAAAGACACAAAGTTTATACATAAAATTTTATTTCAGAATCCTGAAAGAAATATTATGTGTAATACTAACAGCATTGTTTGCATCTCCCTTGGGAGTTATGCAATTTATGTTGCTTTATCATAGTTTGCATGATTTGTTTAAGATTCATTCCGAAATTTGTGTGTTTTTACTCGTATCTCTTTATTTAATAATTGTTTGGACTGCAGACAGAAATCCAAGTGCAAATGCTAGATCGGAAAAAGGTAAATAATTTAATTGTATAATTAAAAATTTACAGAAATATAATTTAATATAAGGAATAATTTAATTTTATAGGTAATCAGTCAGATGAAGTATCTATTGTTGTTTCTTTGCTATACATTACTTTAGCTACAATAACTACAATTGTTAAACCAGAAATGCAAAGTTCTACTGGACTACACGAACCAATTGGTCCATGTAATGAACAAATTGATGTTCATACTCCTTTTGGTATTGTAAGTACATCTATATTCAATTTTTACATAACAAATTATTATACACAATTATCTTCAATTATAATATTTCGTGTTTTCAATTATGCTTTTTTTTTAGATATTAAAGAAAAAGAAGTATCTTTGCTTAGAAAATTATAATGAGCCTTACTACGATTTTCATTGTGTAAAAGAACAAAGACCATTGGAAGATAACAAATGGTATACAATTTGTGGAACACCATTCCTAAATCATGTAGAATACTTAATTGTAATTTGGACATTTTGTCTACTTGGTCTATACATTTATTATCAATTGCTTTTTAAATCAGGCTTTGATGGATATAAACCTAAAACAAAAAAGATTAAAATACAATAATTCAATAGAAGGCTCTCTAACAAATGCGAGTTTCAGTTTANATTTGTATTATATTCAATAAATTAATCAAATATTCCTTGTTTAATATAAAAAAAAATGATATGTAGAATCATTTATTATTTTATAAATTATACTAAATTAAAGTTATGTAAATTTTATAAATTTTTGAAATTCAATTTATTTCTTGAGAAATAATTATAGTTTTTAATTAAAATCATTAATTTTAAAGTTGATATTGTATAATTTATATTAATTTCTTTATAAAATTCTTTGGATTTTATGAATTGCTATATAAAATTATTAATTAAATTATATTGATATTATAATAATTTCATGACAAAAAATAAATTATAATTACTTCCTAAAAATTATTTTTGTTAAATTAAAAGATCTTATTAATATACACTAATAAAATCTCAAAATACACATATAAATAGTACTTTTAATGTAGTTAGCATTTTGTTATTCTTGTTTGTAGCATATTAATAAACTTTTATATGATTTTTTTAAATGTGTGTTTTTAAATTATTTATTTTGAATTAAGAAAAATGATTCAGAGATAAATTTAAATTAATAAAACTTCTTATTGAGGAATTCCATTTAATGTACAGTACCTATCTGCAGACGTTTTGAGGGCCAACCCCAGTAAGTTAATGTCAACCTTATAGTGAGGGCGACGAGAAACAGGGAGACTCTAAAACCTTTCTGTTCTGCCATGGCAACCATCCCAAAAATCCATTTTTGGGATCGAGATTGCTTAAAGTATAATTAAAATATAAGTATATTAATGAAATTGGTACTAATTTTTTTCACAGAATAATAATAATAATTAGTTCATTTGTGGTCATCCTATCAGTGCTCCAGCAGTGTTACTGAGAACAGTCCTGAATTAAAATAAATCAAGTGATATGTATTTTGTTAATTCAACAATGAAAAGTTTTATAGCTTACAATAGTTAACATTATCATCTATGGGAGTAATTTCTCTTAATATGATTTTGTACCTTTGATAAAGTCACGTTTCCTCTTGTAGTTAAGTAGACAAAGGAAAACGGAAATAGAAAATGAAGAAAAATTCTTTTTACGTGTCGATTATTTTTCCGAAATCTTTGTGTGTGCCATTTGCGGAAGATTGAAATGTCTACAATTGGCGCAGATGATGGCACATAGTCATTTTAAGATGGATGACAGTGTCGACGGGAGAGTTTTTGCTGGTTATCTCATATATAACTCTCAATTCCTTTCTCTTTATGAACTTTATCGAAAGATTAAAATAAAATAATACACTAAGAAAAGAAAATTTGGGATTAGATGATCGTTTTAATTTCGGAACGTTTTAAGATACAACGGAATTCTAATCAGTTGCGTTTTGTGTGATAAATCTCCACATATATCTCCACGAATTTAGTGTTTGAGGAATCCTAAAGTGAATACAATTTGAGACAAAAAGCTTTAATTAAATAGTTTAAAAGAATATATAGTAACTGAATAATTGCAAAGTTTTTCCGAACTTTCGTATTGTTCCGCCATCTGATGGTTAAAACTTTTACTAAATTCGATGGTATAAAAGTTGACATTTTAATATTTCAATGTTGTATTATACAATTCAATTTCTGAATATGTATTAAAATTTTTGTTATTAATTTATAACATTATAAAAACAAAAATATATGGGGTTTTTTTTAAAACAATATCTTAAAGTTATATTGTGATCAACGTAGTAATGCCATTCTTAATGGTATCATGTTTACTTTTGTATAATTATCTAATTACATATAACTAATGTTAAATACAATGAAATCGATGTATTTTTTTTATGTTTGACGATAAATTTCAACTTTTATATTATCGCTGAACAAGTTTAAATAAACAGATTACCAACTAACTTGAACTCTAGATGATAAGAACAATGCAACGCGATTTTTAAAAAAATCCAGTAATGAGTTGTATAACTTTCCCGGCTGTTACGAGTTTATGTTAAAAATCTTTTATATTATTAATTATTATAAAATTTTGCCATTGCCATTTTAATCAAAAGGCTTAATTCTGACGGTAGAGACGAATTTTAGAATTAAAAAACTTGTAAAAAAGGAGTAAAATCTTCGTTAAGTTCGACCCCTCTCGAGATATGTTACATGATAACCCTCTATCTTCCCAACCCTTTGACCTTTAACCACCAAAATTTAATAGCATTAATGTTCCTTATGCACAAGCTACCATGCCAAATTTCATTTCTTTATCATTACCTTATCCTGAGATATAAAACGAAATAGACACCCACACACACACACACACATATATATATATATACGCTATATAGTTTGGGTATCAGTTTTTTTGACTTTTTGGGTTCAGAGTTAAAACATTACGATTCCAAAAACCCGGAGAATCAAATGTGACACGATTACAATGTTATAACAGTCGGGAATGTAATCATGTGAGGTTAAAACAGCAATGAAAGTACAAGAAAGTAAAAATGAATTTTTATTGAATAAATGCTTATGTCAATGCATTTAGATTTATACACTCTGTTTAAAGTAATTTGATGCACCTTGAGAAAAGTGTTATATCGTTATTTAACTTGTCAATTGATATGTAAACGATCAATTATTTATTGCGACATTATCACAATGCTGGGCTGCAATTTTTCATAATACTCTCAATTTCAGCCATACTCCTGTACATAATACTTTTCCTGTTCACAATAGTTATGCCGGTCATCTAACTCCGTTCAGAAGAAAATTTTGAATTAAAATAACGCGATTTTTGGTCCAAACCGAAAGTTCGTATATAGTTAATCGTGCCTCCCGTCACCGTTTTCCATATGTGGTCTTGACTTTCATTTATCTAACTCCGTCGAAAGATTAAGGAAGGACAGACAGGCAGACGACAGTGGGAATTTATAGGTCTGCAATCTACAATTTTTGAAACTTGTAGCCGAAAAATGATTAAATTTTTATTGCAATAGGACTTTTAGAGAGCAACGACAACGGCAACATAATGGTCACATGTTAGTATGTTGTAAAACCTCCTCTAATGGGAATATGAATCGATGTACTGTACGGCTCAGTATGAAGTAAAACAACAATCTAATATTGTCTTGTGACAGATTCTGTCAGATTCTCCAATTGTTGGATAGCCTACACCACTGTTTTCTATGTCTACGATGCAACCTGGCCCAAGATGTCAACGGCAGCGCTGTTGCGGCATCTTCACAGACCGCTTATCGTAATCAACCCTGTCAAATCTGTCTGTCAGTGCGAACGGCAATCTATATAAGCAGCACCGTTTGCAATTTCGGTGCTTTCATTAAGCAAAGAAATTTTAATCATTATCTACTTAATCAATGCCATCCGCACACAGAGTTTCATGGCTTTGATCTAATGTCTAGGAATGCATTGACTTTTTGCAATTGTGTGTAAGATTATTTTATTGAGAAACATGCTATTGGAACTTTTTGAACTCTTCATCATATCCTATCCTGGTATAGGATAATGCAAGTTTCATATATTTATATAGCTTAATAGAATTATGTAGTATATTTATAAATGTATAATCTAATAGAAAATTAAATAAGATGAATTAGGCCTAATATATTTGATGATGGTTCCATTTATCATTGTCTGTATACTGTGCGGTAATGGTCCAAGATCCTAGAATATAAGGTTACCTCATATAGCCGGTTTAGCCACTTCCTGAAAGATTCCGGATATACGTCATCCTAGTCGAGCCTGGTCGAGCGACCGCTTCACAACAGTTAGGGAAGAAAGAAAATTTTGGAATTTACGTAAAATGCATAGAAATGCAAAATATAAAAATGTTTTATATATAGCATAAATTTATTGTAATGTTGTTTATTCGTATAATAATTTCTATGTAAGAAATGTTAATGATATATTGGTTTAATTAACTCCGAGCGTGAAGTTTCTGCCGCTTATAACTATAATTATTTTTGTATTAATTCATATTTCGTATGAAGAAACTACGGATGAATTTTGCTGTAAGTGGGATGGATCATAATGATGATAATTTATAGCTACAAAACGAGCAATTATTATTGTGACATCGTCACAATGCCGGGCTGCAATTTTTAGTCATATTTTTAATTAATTTAATTCAAAATATACGCTCTTTACCTTAAATTAGTAGTGGTTTGCCTCTGTACAGTACATCATACTTTTCCTTTAACAATAGAGTCGTCTGTCTAACACCTTTCGGCGGAAAGGTTTCGAATTGACGTAAAGTGACATTCGGAAGTTGTTATATAGTTAATCGGGCCTCCTGCCCTTAAGATTTTCATATCTTGTTTCGGATTTCATCTGCCTAACTCTTTTCTAAAGACGGACGACAGTGGGAATTTATAGGTTATAAAAAAATGAAACAATTAATAGGCCTACTTTTCCCAATTTAACACATAATATGAGACAATTGTGGCATTCTTCAAGCACATTTTCACAATTAAAGTCTGTTGGAATGTACTGCAATTAACATTGCTTTGGTTTTCCTTGCTTTATTGAAAAAACTATATTTTTTAACTATACAAAGTAGGCATATACTAGTTTTATACATTCTCAGTCAAACATTTTATTATTTTCTTTTTTATTTGCATATTGCTTCTGTAAACAGTGGTACCGCAAATATAACCAAGAGTGCTACCATCAAATTTTCATTTTCCAAATGTACAGATATAAATTTAAGGATATGTGGCACCATCTAATTCCCATGACTAGTTAATCTACAAATTTTACGTTTATCTGTACATTTTTTATGTTCCTTGCAGAAATTATCACATTAAGTAATTCTTATCATTTACGTGATTTTAAATAACTGAATCGGAAAGCAAGATATTTCATGCAAAAGCCCACTGTACACTTATCCCGTACAGTTTGTAGATATCTATCCTTTCCGAATGTTCTATCGTAACACAACACAACACTCTCTGTTCTATCTATAAAGAGATAGCCCGATGTAGTAAGCACGGGATTGTAAGGAGTGGAGAAATTGTAGGCTTTTAGAGGAACCCTACAATTTCCTCACTCCTTAGAAATCGAGAGAAAATAGTGCTTCGGCCGAAACAACTTGAAAGGTTAGACAGACTCTATTTCGTCGGGCTGGAGAGCGTATAAAAAGTTTCTTCTTCCAATTATCAGACTAGTAATATTTTTCTTAATTATGAATAATTAACAGAGACCGAGATTAAAACAGCAGGTCTCGGATTTCATATAATTCCGTTTTCGAGGTTAAGACACGCGAACGGACGACAATGACAAAATTTGGAAATAAATGTAGCATTCCTCCCAAAAAGCAAAATTATTGCGTTGTAAGTCAGGAAATAAAATATCATGGCATGAGAGGTACGAGCGAAAGTTTCAAAATTGCGGACGTGTCAAATTGATTAAGCGATCACATTAAGAATTTAGGGGAGAGAGATCCTTTAAAAAGTCAGAAATTCAAGGAGAAAGAATGGTCGTTTCCCCCTAGTCCAGTCTGTGGGGAGAGAGATCCTTTAAAAAGTCAGAAATTCAAGGAGAAAGAATGGTCGTTTCCCCCTAGTCCAGTCTGTGGGGAGAGAGATCCTTTAAAAAGTCAGAAATTCAAGGAGAAAGAATGGTCGTTTCCCCCTAGTCCAGTCTGTGGGGAGAGAGATCCTTTAAAAAGTCAGAAATTCAAGGAGAAAGAATGGTCGTTTCCCCCTAGTCCAGTCTGTGGGGAGAGAGATCCTTTAAAAAGTCAGAAATTCAAGGAGAAAGAATGGTCGTTTCCCCCTAGTCCAGTCTGTGGGGAGAGAGATCCTTTAAAAAGTCAGAAATTCAAGGAGAAAGAATGGTCGTTTCCCCCTAGTCCAGTCTGTGGGGAGAGAGATCCTTTAAAAAGTCAGAAATTCAAGGAGAAAGAATGGTCGTTTCCCCCTAGTCCAGTCTGTGGGGAGAGAGATCCTTTAAAAAGTCAGAAATTCAAGGAGAAAGAATGGTCGTTTCCCCCTAGTCCAGTCTGTGGGGAGAGAGATCCTTTAAAAAGTCAGAAATTCAAGGAGAAAGAATGGTCGTTTCCCCCTAGTCCAGTCTGTGGGGAGAGAGATCCTTTAAAAAGTCAGAAATTCAAGGAGAAAGAATGGTCGTTTCCCCCTAGTCCAGTCTGTGGGGAGAGAGATCCTTTAAAAAGTCAGAAATTCAAGGAGAAAGAATGGTCGTTTCCCCCTAGTCCAGTCTGTGGGGAGAGAGATCCTTTAAAAAGTCAGAAATTCAAGGAGAAAGAATGGTCGTTTCCCCCTAGTCCAGTCTGTGGGGAGAGAGATCCTTTAAAAAGTCAGAAATTCAAGGAGAAAGAATGGTCGTTTCCCCCTAGTCCAGTCTGTGGGGAGAGAGATCCTTTAAAAAGTCAGAAATTCAAGGAGAAAGAATGGTCGTTTCCCCCTAGTCCAGTCTGTGGGGAGAGAGATCCTTTAAAAAGTCAGAAATTCAAGGAGAAAGAATGGTCGTTTCCCCCTAGTCCAGTCTGTGGGGAGAGAGATCCTTTAAAAAGTCAGAAATTCAAGGAGAAAGAATGGTCGTTTCCCCCTAGTCCAGTCTGTGGGGAGAGAGATCCTTTAAAAAGTCAGAAATTCAAGGAGAAAGAATGGTCGTTTCCCCCTAGTCCAGTCTGTGGGGAGAGAGATCCTTTAAAAAGTCAGAAATTCAAGGAGAAAGAATGGTCGTTTCCCCCTAGTCCAGTCTGTGGGGAGAGAGATCCTTTAAAAAGTCAGAAATTCAAGGAGAAAGAATGGTCGTTTCCCCCTAGTCCAGTCTGTGGGGAGAGAGATCCTTTAAAAAGTCAGAAATTCAAGGAGAAAGAATGGTCGTTTCCCCCTAGTCCAGTCTGTGGGGAGAGAGATCCTTTAAAAAGTCAGAAATTCAAGGAGAAAGAATGGTCGTTTCCCCCTAGTCCAGTCTGTGGGGAGAGAGATCCTTTAAAAAGTCAGAAATTCAAGGAGAAAGAATGGTCGTTTCCCCCTAGTCCAGTCTGTGGGGAGAGAGATCCTTTAAAAAGTCAGAAATTCAAGGNGCCGCTTTCCCGTAAGCCTAAAAGTTTGACGATGGTGTTTTGAATGTCGAGCGTGATTCCACCGACTATCCAAACACCATTGTCAAACTTTTAGGCTTACGGGAAAGCGGCGTCGAATGTCACACGTACACGTTTACACGTTTAAAACGTGCGCCTCAACCTCTCTAATAAATGAATAAACTTCTCGTTTTCTCACTGCCTTTGTGTTTTGTAGGAACATTTGGGAGGGAGAAGAATCTCCCTCTCCAACTTTACCACGAAGAGGACCAAGTGGCCATTTATCGTACAAGTGAATATTTTCCGATGGTAAGAACACTTTCGTTTCATTTCTTAGCACATCTTATTCTCGTATCGTAATTTACTGTTTTCTGTTTATAGACATGCCGAAGATGTTCTTCGATCACACACACACACACACACACACACACACGGACATAACACCACTGTACACGAAGATATACACCGTTTCACCTTTACTCGAATTCTCGCACTCACGCACTTACACGTCAAGCGCCTCGTTCTGTGTAATTCCACACAATGAAACAACCCGAACACACGCTTCCCACAAATCCAACCCCTGGGTCCTCGTCCCGGGAAGTGGAAACGCCAATTTTAAAGATCAAAAGACTTTAAATTGGCGGCCGAAGGGGCTCTGGTAATCACATATCTTGCATCGATTAAATGGAATTTCAGACATTAGCATCAATAATCGTTTGGTGATGAATTGGGAAGGAGAGGAATCCTGTACCAAGTACCTGTACATTGTTTTTCCCACTATGTTTTGTTTTTGTGGATTTTTTTTTAATCGTGGTCTCAAACTTTTTTCCAGGATTGCATATATAAAAGCATTTTAATTTGAATTTAACAAAAAATTTACAAGTTAGCATGCATAAATCATTTAAAAAACGCGGAGAAATGAGAACGTATACAGCGAAGTTCACCAGAATTATGCACTAAGTGATAGCTGCGAGGAAGAGGTAGTCAACCTTCTACCGTGTTAACCCTCCGAACACACCTGAAATTTCCCTAAAATTAACAGAGTTTTTTCTTAATAGCGTTGCTCCATATATCAAAAAAAGTATCGGTATTTCGACAATCCAGAGAAAAACAGATTTTCACTGTTAGGACGTAGGCGCTAGGACACAGCTGTGGTTTTCTGTGTTAGCACTGTTTGTTAGGACTGCTGTTTTAGGACTAACACAGTTTGAGTTAAAGCCACAGTTTAGCAAAAGCATCGTGTGATAACAATTGTATATTTATGTAATAAACGGTCATATCTGTATTATGTATATCCAGCAGNGGAAGCGGTATCTAGACAGACAGGAAATATCAGACTAGTATCGAGGCAATCTTAAACAAAGATTTAAATGTTATTTATATGAGAATTTAGATGATCTTATTAATTTCCAAAACAGACCATATTGGCTGGACATTTTGTCAACTTTTTAATTATTCCTCTGCTTTTTATTTGCCCATTAATCAATCCATTTATACTTCCATTTCTCTCAATTCTAGAAGTCTTTGTCTTTTCTCTTCAAGCAATTTTTCTCGATGTTTATGGATATAATCAGTGATATTAGGTATGTTCTTTATTGTGCAAGCAGCTAATGCCGAACGAAAAAAGTTCATATCTGTTGCTTTGTACCACTGATTAGTTGCTTCGCTGTAACACTCGACTCGACATGTGATACTCTCTCCGTTATATCCACCGATGGCAAAAATCATATCGTCGATAACTTCTACAGCAAAGTTACTTCGTGTTGTTATCATGTCGGGTACTTCTGACCATATATTATTGAGAGGATTGTACTTCTCTACAGTTTTTAATCTTTCCAAGCCATTGAATCCACCCAGACTATACACGCAACCTTTGAAAGCGATGCAAGATACACCTCTTCTTCGGCTTCTCATATTTGAAATTAGAGTCCATTGATTAGCCTGAGAGTTGTAGCATTCGGCCGAATCAAGGTAATGTTGCCCTGTAAAACCACCGATGATATAAATAAAATCGCCTAGAGTAGTGGCATCGGCATCGCTTCTCTGCATATGCATTGGAGCAATCATCGTCCACTGATTTGTTCTATGATCGTATCTTTCGGCGGTATTGTGCCGATTTGCCCCATTATATCCACCCATAGTGTATATCAAATTGTTTAATACAGCTACACTCACATAGCATCGTTTACAATGCATCGGAGCAATCTCTTTCCATTCTTTATTGATGGTATCTAAACAGCGGCATCCGCTGTAATGACTCATTCCGTCAAATCCACCAATTACATAGATATTATGATCGACTACTGCACATCTGTGATAAGCTCTTGGACCAGCAGGATCAACTTCACGCATCTTTACCCATCTATCTGCTCTGCTATCGTAGGTCTCGATGTAATTAGTTGCAGAACCAAAACTCCATCCCCCTATAGCAAAAATTATTTCGTGAGGGATGCGAGGCAGAGCCAATTCTGGAGTTAGAATTTCTTCGGGCCGAGCATGCAGTCAATTATCGAGCATTGTATTTTTTTTTTTTAACGTGCATTCGAATTGGTATTAAAAATTAAAAAAATAGACCAATATCATTTTTAGTTAAAAAAAAAAGTAGTTTGACGATAGAAATTAAATTAATATTTTAAGAAACTATTGTTGTTATAATATCATAAAATAGATTTCATTTACACTGTAGAAAAACGCATTTAACTTCAATTTTACACGTAAAAATTACGAAGATTTGCTCAATATTCCGGATTTTTCTTATTTATAATCCATTTTCATTTGCATTTAATAAAATATAAATCGTAATTAATGAAATATTAGCGTGTAATTAAAGCTACAAGCTTATGATCGGTAATGTTTTAACCATAAGGACATAGAAAGAAGTTTCGTTTTCGACTATGAGTAACGTCAAATAAGCAACCGATGAGAAGCGTTTCTTCTCTATGAGGCAACCTTATATTCTAGGACCGTGGTAATGGTCGGGTTTGGGGCAATACATAACTTTATTTATTTATTATTTTTGGGGAGTCGTATAAAGGGTTGGCAGCACTTTAGAGGGAGGGAAGGTGTATTTAAGGAATTTGCGGATTGGCTGCCGGGAGCTTTTTCCTTTGTGTGTGTTCAGGTGTTGTGAGAAACTGTTTCCGGATCGACACTATCCGTCTATTGACGGACACCTGGACATCTACTCTTCGGAGGAAAGGCCGTGAGCATCTCCGTCCCGTCAGCACATGGTATTATCACTATGCCTCGAATCGGCACATGGAAACTTTGCTGGCCCGGCTACGCATGGAGACAGCCCCATTCTCGCCGATTAAGTGATTCACCGATTTGCCCTCACTGCGGGGCTCAGGAGACGACCCTTTATTTTGGCTGCAGTGCCCTCAATATGCTAGCGCCCGCCAAGATCTGGACACAACACTGAACATTAACCTATCACACGCCAGTACTTTGCTTTATATTTATGAGCCTTCGACTACCATTACGCCCCGCCATCACGTGATGGGACTTGAAACGTACGTCACTCGCACCGGTCGCTTCCACTGACTAATGTCGATTCGGAGAAAGAGCCTACAAGGCTAATATCTCCATATAAACCGTGAGGAAGAGAAGAAGAAGAAGAGGAACTGTGTTGTGAAGCGGAAGCGGTATCTAGACAGACAGGAAATATCAGACTAGTATCGAGGCAATCTTAAACAAAGATTTAAATGTTATTTATATGAGAATTTAGATGATCTTATTAATTTCCAAAACAGACCATATTGGCTGCACATTTTGTTAATTTTTTAACTATTCTTCTGCTTTTTATTTACCCATTAATCAATCCATTTATACTTCCATTTCTCTCAATTCTAGAAGTCTTTGTCTTTTCTCTTCAAGCAATTTTTCTCGATGTTTATGGATATAATCAGTGATATTAGGTATGTTCTTTATTGTGCAAGCAGCTAATGCCGAACGAAAAAAGTTCATATCTGTTGCTTTGTACCACTGATTAGTTGCTTCGCTGTAACACTCGACTCGACATGTGATACTCTCTCCGTTATATCCACCGATGGCAAAAATCATATCGTCGATAACTTCTACAGCAAAGTTACTTCGTGTTGTTATCATGTCGGGTACTTCTGACCATATATTATTGAGAGGATTGTACTTCTCTACAGTTTTTAATCTTTCCAAGCCATTGAATCCACCCAGACTATACACGCAACCTTTGAAAGCGATGCAAGATACACCTCTTCTTCGGCTTCTCATATTTGAAATTAGAGTCCATTGATTAGCCTGAGAGTTGTAGCATTCGGCCGAATCAAGGTAATGTTGCCCTGTAAAACCACCGATGATATAAATAAAATCGCCTAGAGTAGTGGCATCGGCATCGCTTCTCTGCATATGCATTGGAGCAATCATCGTCCACTGATTTGTTCTATGATCGTATCTTTCGGCGGTATTGTGCCGATTTGCCCCATTATATCCACCCATAGTGTATATCAAATTGTTTAATACAGCTACACTCACATAGCATCGTTTACAATGCATCGGAGCAATCTCTTTCCATTCTTTATTGATGGTATCTAAACAGCGGCATCCGCTGTAATGACTCATTCCGTCAAATCCACCAATTACATAGATATTATGATCGACTACTGCACATCTGTGATAAGCTCTTGGACCAGCAGGATCAACTTCACGCATCTTTACCCATCTATCTGCTCTGCTATCGTAGGTCTCGATGTAATTAGTTGCAGAACCAAAACTCCATCCCCCTATAGCAAAAATTATTTCGTGAGGGATGCGAGGAGCCAATTCTGGAGTTAGAATTTCTTCGGATCTCTGGCTTATGGTGTCTAAATCGTTTAGAAATTTTAATGTTTCCATTATAAGAGGAGAACAATCTTCGTTTTCTGTGACATATGGATGTGTTTTTACAGTTCTCATAAAAAAATCAGAATCGAGAAGCCCTAGACGAATGCATTTCAATAAATCAGGCATATGTTTCTTCCGCTTTTGTGGATTTATGTCTATCCATCGTAAAACTGTGTCCCAAACTAATTCTTCTTCTTTAACATTTAATTCTTCACAATTCAAGATATTTACCAGTTCTTCGATAGTTATTTGCATCAATTCTTCGTTCTGATTCGAGATTTCTGTAAAATTTTTCATTAAATACTGATGAGCCGATTTTTCTATGATGATATTTCTATATGATTTTCCTATGTTTTTAATAGAAATGCAATTTTTTGTATCTAAATGTTCTATCATATACGAGCAACATTCATCCATTAATTCGGAAAACAAATACTCATCAGCTGCAATGAAAACTTTTCGAACATTTTCTGCATTCAGTTCTATTTTTCCACAATAAATGTAATCTATGATGTATTGAAGAACTTCTCCGTCGATATCTTTTAATTGAAATTCTTCTCTTTTATATCCGTCTGTTGTATTGATGAATAAGATTTCAAAAAAGTAGGAATAAGCAGCCATGATGCATTTATGAACTAGAAACCTTTCTCCTTCTTCTGTCTTAAGAATTGCGTCACAAAATATGCCCGAATCTTTCATCTTCTTCATGATATTTAATGTATTCTGGCTAAAAGAAGTTTTTCCTACTTTTGAAGACATTTCTCTTGGAATTTTCTTAGTTCTGTTGATATTATTAATTGTTTTAAGGAAATAATAAGCTTATTATTGTTGTGATAACTGTAAATACATAACAATTGCTTTTACCAATATTTTGTATACTGTATGTTTAATTATCAAATATTAATTTACTTACTTTAAATTTAAGGATGTAATATTTAATGTCAAAATTTTAATTCATTTTTCTTCAACACTGAAAAATATTTTTTCATCTATAAACCTTAGAAACATGTGAAGTCCAAAGTGATCAAATTACCAATAGATACATTCATTCCTCCAAAAGTATAGGAATTATTGGAAAATTATTGGAATTTTACCCTCCAAATATTTTGCAAATCTCCACGTTTTGAGACCTCCTAAATTGAAAAAAAGTGAAAAAAGAAGCAAAAAAATTCCGTGTGCGCGCTTCTATTTCGTTTAATATCTCAGAATCGAGTAAAGATTAGGTAACGAAATTTGGCATGGTGGGTTGTATATGAAGGGCATTGAAGCTATTAAATTTTGGTGATTAAAGATCGACGGGATGGGGAGATAAAGGGTATATCTCCAATAGTGTCAGACTTAATAACGAGTAAAATCGTCATTAACATTTATACTTTTTTTTATAAAAATCATCCCTCAAAATTAAGCTTTTTGCCCTTTTATAATAATATTAAAAATTTTAAGTAAAAATCTCCTAACAGACGGTGCCGCACAAAATTTTAACTCTTGCCGGGAAAGTTATACAACTGAATGTTAGACTTTTTTAATGAAATATGGTAAATTACTCAACTGATAAATTATGTCTTGACCCAACTAAACCTTTTAATTTGCACAAATTTCTTTATGAATTGTTTCCACGAAAAATTATTTTTCCATTGTTGTTTTTATTTTGAATTTTTGCACCATCAAACTGTATTGTATCTCTAGGCCCGAGCATAATGGAACTTCCATCACTGTGTAAAATTTGAAATACAGTATTTGCTTCCTGAAACTCACGAAAGTCAAGGTTCGATTGTGGATTTGATTATTCGTCGAGTTTTCCATCAAAAATTAAACAAGAATTTTCCCCCATTTAATTAATTATTGATGCAAGTAATAAACAATATATTTGGTTTTTGGCCTACTGTAGAAAATTTCACATAAACCAGAAAATGTAGGCGAAAGAAAACTAAAAATTTAGTAAGTTATTAATGCATAAAATATATGCATTAATCTATTTTAGTAGGATCGTGTTCCATGTTTTCAATGCCTGCAACTTGAGCCGAATGAGATTTAAAGCTTAAGAGTTTATTCACATTGGAATCATATTAAAATAACTTTTTTACATACGTTTGAAGGGTTACAAATGTTAACCATCTTCGCTTAATTAAATCGTTTTACAAGCGATAATTTCTTTAATGCATACGCGAAACTCTAAGAGAGACTCCGGGAATTTCACAATTTTGATATTTTATATTCAAATGCAGATTAACTTCAAATATTCTTTATGGTAATTTCATTCCTTAATCATGATACAAACCGCGATTATCTAATTCCAACGCTAACAATGAGCTCCGTAAATAACAATATGTTAAACTGGAGGCCCCAGCCAGCATGTGTCTAAGGTACAGACATATGCTAGCTAGGTACAGAAAGTACAAATACCAAAGGTCCATCAATAAAAATTTCTTGTTCTTTGACTCATTTGTATTCAGAAAATTTTATCATCTATACTTTCTATTACTATTTATATTTTAATTATTAAATTATAAAGAAAATTATCCAATTGAAATTGGTATGTTTTATATTGCCAATATATTCAAGTGAAATTTTCTTTTTTCCACTTAAGTTTAATACCGTTTACTTTGAAATTTATAATTAAAAAAAAAGTAGACTGAATATAAAGATACTGGTAGATCAAATTAACGAAAACATTTACTAAAAATATTTATTCCATATAACAAATTATATATAAAATATATATAATATATTA